GATATACTGTGTGGCTCAGTGGTGTGATCTGCTCATTGTTTTTAATTGGTCTGCAAAAGTAATGCTTCTCTTTCTTAGATTTTTTATGTTGTTTCTAGTCCAAATATCTAAAAATTATTAAATCATTTTCTAGACAAGCAAATCATATTGACTTGTTTTAAGAAATAATGTGCTAAAATTAAGTGAGTTTTTTCTTAAAACAACCAAAATAATCTGCCAGTGGAGTAGGCAAAATAATCTTACGTCGAAAGGAAAAACACGATTATTTTGCTTAGCCATATCTTAACAAATATATCTAATAAAATAATATTTTAGTTAACAAACATATTTAGAAAATGAATAGACGATAATACAATTAAATTCAAGCAAAATATAGCAAAAGAATGTTTTTTCAACCTACGAAATTAACCAAATCTTTTTTCCTTCTCTTGATTTTTTTCTTCTTGTTTAAATTTGTATTTAATATTTTTCTATAAATTTGGGTGTACTCGTTTTTGGACCATTATCGTAAGTTATTTTGTTAGATAAGCTCCAGATTTGGCTTCAGTGCTGACTAATCTAATGTATATACAAAATTATAATAGTGTATTAAAATATTAGATTTAAAAGATAGATTTGTTAGGGGTGTACTTATATATGCTGAGCATTGTATGTCATCTAAATTCCTTTTTATTTTAATGTATTTGAAAAATGTAAAGCTCTGCAGTTTTTATTCAAAAATCATCATTGTAATCTGCTGAGCTGAAATGTCTTATTATCAATGCTGAAAGTAGCTGTGCTCTTCAGTATTTCTGTGGAAAATATTATGCTTTTGTTTTTCATTATACTAAAAGTTGAAAGGAACAGCGTGCATTTGAAGTAGAATAAAAACATGTTGATCTCTATAGATTGAATTTATTCCAAGAATAATTGCAGAATAGAAGTATTACTTTTTAAATTGAAATCAAATTAATGTTTATATATTTTAAAATAAACAAGTAAATGAATGTAGTTAATTTTACATTTAAACATAATAGTGAAAGATTACCATACACTATTACACATCTTTTAAACAACATTTGTCCACAGTTTGACATTCAATGAATGAGTGTTTTCCATGTAATTACACTTTTGAAATGCATTATGGGACCTCAATGTGTGCTCTCACAACTTTAAAATTTTTTAAATGTTTAAAATGTAACACTGCAGTTTAACAACGTGATTTTTATTGTCATTCATGGTGGTAAAAAATGTAATAGAAGGCAACCTATATTTAAACATTCATTCATTCATTTTCTTTTCGGCTTAGTCCTAGCATTATGCAGTGGATGCCCTTCCATCCGCAACCCAACACTGGGAAACACCCATACACTCTTGCATTCACACACATACACTATGGCCACTATGGCCAATTTAGCTTATTATATTCACCTATAGCACATGTTTTTGGGCTGTGGGGGAAACCGGAGCACCCGGAGGAAACCCACGCAAACACTGAGAGAACATGCGAACTCCACACAGAAATGCCAACTGACCCAGCTAGGGCTCGAATCAGCGACTTTCTTGCTGTGAGGTAATCGTGCTAACCACTGCACCACCATGACGCTGTATTTAAACAAAATCTGTAAAATAACAGGACAAAATACTGGAAGCTTATTACTGGATTTATTGCTGAATAACCCAATGAATAACCGAATATTTCATTTAAAAAATTTACTAAAAATGACTGTTTCCTACTTCAAAAGTTGTCATTATTCCATAATGCATTTTAAATAAATACAAAACACACTGTAAAAAGTGATTAGCTGATTTTACTTTAAAAAATAAAAAAAGAGTAAACACAGTACCTTAAAATGATTAAGTAAATGAAATATGTACATAATTATGCAAATAAAGCTGTCAACTTAACAGTTCCATGTTACAACTAGTTTATTTGTCAATGTGATTCTTTTAGAACAAATTCACTCACTTTGTAAAAAGCAATTAGTTACTTTTTTTAGTGACGACTCCATGCATCACAAAATACAGAAAACAGTTATTATATTATTTTTACATATATAACATGATATTATTACACAGTGTAGTAATTTACTGTGTTAATCATATGATACTTGTAGATTTGGCAGATTTTGGCCTTTTGTAAGATTTACCTCCTAATTGTCAATCTAGAAGTCAGCCAGACAGAGTTAGTCAACCCATTGTCTCTTGTTTGCTAAATACTCTCAGTAGTTCTGTGCCTCGCGCTGCCCACAGTCAAACCGGGGCAGAGGATTGGAATTCGGGTTAGGAATGAACTCCCTAATGGAGCAAAATTGAAGTCAAGTGACCATCAGCTGGTCAAAGTATGTTTGATCAATACAGTCACAAGGTCTCAGGTATGCAAAGCTGGAGCTTTTACAGGAGGCTGTGAAGAGAGCCTACAACATACACATCACCACCAGCTATGTTTCTATCCAATGATGCCAATTAGATTTGTGCTCAAACTGGTGTATGACATGAAACATCTGTGAGTGAAGCACTGTTTCCATCCAGTCTAGCAAAGAGAGCAAAATTGACACTTTCTGACAAACTGGTGGCAAATATCAAGAAGAGTAATGAAGTTTGCCCTGTGCTCATTTTTTTTGGTGCGTTAATCTTGTCACTAATATTATTCAGAAGGTCATGATTCTCTCTCATTAAATACTTGCTTTGTAAAGTTTTTATTTTACATTCTTCAGGTGATGCAAAACACAGACTTTTCGGCACAATACCTTCCTCAGTGTGTGACACAATCCTCTCACTCCATCCTTTTGGCCCACAGTAAATCATATTACGTCATTAGTTAGACGACCACTCAATAGCTAAATAAATATCTCATTTTAATTTCAATATACCGTATTATATTATTTCTATTATTTCTTATTTCTGCTATTATTTCACAGGAAAATAGCATATCAATTATCATCATTTATTTATTCATGTCTACATCAATGCAATGAAATTTCAACAGTCCAAAACATTGCAAAGATACATTTTCATCACATTATTTGTATCATTACATCTTTAAAATCCAGGATTTACAATATTATAGCTAAACAACCAACTGTTAAAGAACACAGAAAGGACCAGTTCCTCATTCATTCCTCTTGGTGTAAGTGATTTTAATTTATGAATCCAGAACGCTTCTCTTTGTAATAATCTTTTATTCAGATTACCTCCTTTATGTGACTCAAATACTTCTTCAGTTCCTGTGCAGTCTAGTTGTTTAACATCATGTCCAAAATCGAATAAAAATGTCTTAAATACAAAAAATAAAAAATAAAATGTCTTGCTACTGCTAAAGTTATATCTTGTCATCGTATACTTGATTTATGTTCAGTCAAAAAGAAAAAATGAGATTGGCTGTGGTAGGAGAAGCCACTGTGGGCCTTTTCCTCATTCATTCATTCATTTTCTTTCGGCTTTGTTAATTTTGGGTCGCCAAAGCAGAATGAACCGCCAACTTCTCCAGCATATGTTTTATGCAGCGGATGCCCTTCCATCCGCAACCCAGCACTGAGAAACACCCATAAACTCATTCACACACATACACTACAGGCAGTTTAGCTTATTCAATTCCCCTATACTGCATGTCTTTAGACTGTGGGGGAAACTGGAGCACCTGAAGCTAACTTATGCGAACATGGGGAGAACATGCAAATTCCACACAGAAATGCCACCTGACCCAGATAGGACTCGAACCAGCAATCTTCTTGCTGTTAGGAGACTGTACTAACCACTAAGCCACCATGTTGCTGGGTTATATTATTATTGACTTCTTCTGCCTCAGAGGATGAACGATTGGTGGCTTTTGGAGGCTTGAGACCACACTTTGGGTGCGCAGCTGCTTAAGACTTTCTGAGAGGTGGACTGTCCATTAATGCCATCCCATCACTATCTGTGGTCATTAAAAAACCCTGGATGTCCTTCAAAAAAAGAGTAGGGATTTAACCCCGGCATCCTGGCCAAATTTGCCCACTGGCATCTGTCTATCATGGCCTCCTAACCATCACCATATCATAATTGGCTTGATCAGTCTGTCTCCTCTCCACCAATCAGCTGGTGTGTGGTGTGCGGTCTAGCATAATATGGCTGCCGTCGTGTCATCCAGGTGCATGCTACTCACCGGATAAGGAGATTCCCCCCTAAAAATGTGTAAAGCACTTCCGAGAAATTATTATTGTTATTATTATTATTATTATTATCACACCCATCTGTTAAAAAAAAATCTAATGAGTTTTTGTTGCCTACACTGGAATTTATTAATGCGTTTGTAGTTCATGCACATTATTTCTTGGTGGATCAATGTTTATCTTATTCAGTTGTACATGAAAATGTTTTTGGTGCACATTTTGATGTTTTAATTAAGCTTTTTTTATGCAAAAATAAAAAATGAGCCTAAAAGTAGGTAGACCGAAACATCGCCACTATCAGTCCAACAGGCAACCACTGCCTTTCATTGTTAAACAATGCGAAAATCTTCTACACTTGTCAATTTAAGAGTCCCTCTTTTGTTTATCCAGCTGAGGATGATTTAATTAGATGACGACCCAATCAAAGCGCACCTTCGACAGCTAACAAGCAGCCACTTCTAATTAATAAGACTTGAATTAAGTGTTCTGGACGGACGCGTGCCAAAGCACTAAGTGGAATGAGGGCGCGATGGCGATTGTTAGGAGAGAAGCGCACAATGCTTGGCTAAAAGGGTGTGATGAGCTGCTCTAAAACCGGCCTGTGTCTGCCCGCCTGCAGTCCTGCCTTCAGGCTAATGGGAAAGAATGAGAAATATTTGCGAGAGTGCTAACGCCATGCTTAAAAATGCCCATCGGGAGATTAGCTCCCCCTCCCCGGTGCTGCCTGTCTCTGTGCTGCGAGCAAAGAGAAAAGCAAAGAAGGGCTGTTGTCGTCCTGTAGATCTGCAGACACGTTGATTTGGGGTTGTCTAACCGCTCTCTCTGTCTCTGTTCCTCAGGCGTTCGGGACGTCTGGAGTGGACGAGCGCTGCCGGTGGCTTGTTCGGGTGCTCATGAGATGCTCAGTAGTCAGTGTAGATCCTGTGTCACAATCAGCAGCTACATCTGGCTACTGGGTCTCTGATGGCATTTTCTGCTTCCTGTTGGCACATTCCTTTCAGATTGTGTGGTATGTTATCACAACGTGCGCTTCATCCTGTCAGAGTAGGACTCGCTCTTTAATAGAGGTTAAAAAGGGTTGTTGTTTTAACAGGCCGTTTATTCCACTAGACTGATTTGCTGCTTTAAAAAAAAGGTGAGGGGATTGTGTCAAGTTTTGAGAAACCATTTTTTAGACGTGCTTGAATGAGACGTTGTGTCTTATTTGACTGCTGAAGATTTGGTTTTAGCGATTAGGTAACAAAGGACAAGGCGACATGTCACATTCTCTTTGTGATTTGCCTGTCACAAGGGGCTGTCTTTGTGCAAATGTTTTTGAGTTGCTGAAAGCTGACAAATAATGAGAGTTAAACACGCAGACATGTCGAATCCAGAGGATTTTTTTTGGGGAAGAGCGAAGGATGAAGTCTTTTGTGCTGTCGTGAACCTGGCATACAATGTAGATTTCTGTGTGGTACTATCTACAGCTACATTGTCTGCTGGGTTTCAGGCCAGCAGAATAATTCTGCTCTACTGACAAATTGAAATAGGTGAGTCTTTTAATCCTTCTGCAAAACAAACTACTATGATAATAAAAGTACTGAAAGTATACAAACTGTGATGCGTCCAATTATTTCTGCTGGTGTTTATTCTTACTGTGGGTTCAGCTTGATATTCGCACGGGCTGCACAGATTCCATCCAATGACAGACTGTCAAATTTCACCAGGGATTAAAAAGGCATCCAAGATATTTCAGCCGTACACCCAGAAGAGCTTCTTATCACTATTACCCATCTGTGTCTGAATACACCCACCCACAACACACACAATGAATGTTAGCAGAAAAATTCTTCATTCACGCAAAATAAAAAAAGAAAAATCTACCTACAGTATATTGCGTACTGTTATGTCTTCAGGGATTCAAACTAATGAAGAAAGCCTGAAGCCCAAAGAGAACTCGGTTCATTAAGTCACAATCTGAATTCAATATTGACAGAAATGCCTTGCAGGAACACTGTAGCGTATCTCTGGCAGTTTTCGCTTTGTGTCAGGTGTCTTTTTTTGTAATGCATTCATAGAGAAACGAATACCTGACGCCAGCATATTCTGTATTCCTGAATAATGTAAAAGCAGTCCAGTGGGTTTGTGACAATGCAGTTTCATAGAAAAGAATTAGCTGGTAAGCTCCAAAGAGCAGTTTTAGTTTGATACGTTACACTTTAAAAATAAAGGATCTTTATCGGCATCAGTAGCTCCACAAAGAAACTTTGACATCTATTGAAATATTTCATTGCACAAAAGGTTTTTATTGTGAACAAAGAAAAACTCTTCACCCAAACTTTTTCTTTTTCGATGAATCAAAAATGGTTCTCACTCGTTCATTCTCTTTTCGGCTTAGTCCTTTTATTATTCAGGGGCAACCACAGCAGAATGAACCGCCAACTTATTTAGCATATGTTTTACGCAAAAGATGCCCTTCCAGCTGCAACCCATCACTGGAAAACATCCATACACTCATTCACACACGTACACTATGGAAAAATTAGCTTATTCAATTCACCTATAGCGCATATCTTTGGACTTGTGCTACCCTACACCAACACAGGGAGAACGTGCAAACTCCACACAGAAATGTCAACTGACCAAGTTGGCACAAACTAGTGACCTTTTTGCTGTGAGTCAACAGCACTACCCAATGCGCCACCGTGCCATCCCAAAAATGGTTCTTCGCTGTTATAAATTTTTGGGGAGGAATGTAAATGTTCTTATGAGTTCCCATGTTAAAAACGTACCCAGTACTGGGTGTGTGACGTTATTTACTTGTGCGTTCTTTAAATTTTAAATGACCGTCCTGGCCCAATACCCCCATAAGTGGTTTCGTTCTCTCATCAGTTGGAATAGAATACCTTTTGCATAGATCATGATAAAATGTCTATTTTTTTCTGATTACTGACATGTGCAGGAACCACACAAAAAAGCACCTCTTTTTTGAGGGGTTCATTATAACACAGACAACATATAGTTACTTCAACAGTGTTTCGTGAAAATTCAAAGGGTTTTCTTTAAAAAATGATTCCAAACTTTTGCATTTACACCTCTGCATGTGAATTTGGGAAGCTTTTGATTTTAGGTAGGCAAAATCCAGGTGGACTTTGAGGTAAACTATTGTACAGAAGAGAAAATCAGAAGCGGGATTGTATATAAATCAATGACATTTCACAGTGGACGGGGCTACTAAACATGACACATTCTGCAAAATGTCCTGTTGTGCGTCATTTTCGCAACTAGTTAGGTCATGGAGTTAAGGTGCAATCACACTAAGACTTTCAGCTCCATCCCCTTCTATCGATACGCATGTGAAAGCTGGAGGAAATGCAAGCATGTGAAGTTTTGTTGCGGAACCAAAGTTCAAGCTTGTTGAAGTCTGAAGCAGAAATTTGCATAGAAAGTTGTTTGACCCAATACAATAGCTAAAGTCAAAGACTGATCTTTTAGGTCAAGAAACAAAGAGAATTCTTTGCCAATTTCTGGTGTAATATTCTGGTTTTGGTTCTTGCTATGTGAATGCCAAGAAAAAAAGTCATGGACATGATTTAAAAAGGTTAAGGTTATTCAAAATGGTCTAGAAAATGTTGTTTGAGGTAAAATTAAAACATAAAAAACTACAGACTAGCAGAAATGGTTTGCTGTTTCGTTATATGCATGTCACGATTTTGCCCAGTACGATGTGATCTTGAATTAACATGTATGATGATCTTGGAACATCATTTTTGTTGGAAAATGTAATCCATACACATTCCCTACCCCTAAATACAACCTTAACTGTAAATTATTCCCAAAAATCAGAAGGGAATAATATAGGACAGCAATCATACAAGTGCATAAACTATAAACACATCTCTTAAATCTGATTGGCTGATTGGAATGTTGTTCCAGGATTGACATAGATGTTAATCCAGGAACATGTCTAACTTGGTGAATGAGGTTGGCACCCATTATATACCCTCAATATATATATAGATATTTTTCAAGACACTTCTATAAAGCTTAAAGTGACATTTAAGGTTTAATCGGTTAACTAGGGTAATTAGACAAGTTATTGTATAACGATGGTATGTTCTGTAGACTGTCGGGGAAAAAATAGCTTAAAGGGGCTAATACTTATGACCTCAAAATGTTTTTTAAAAAAATTTAAAACTGATTTTAACCTAGCCAAAATAAAACAAATAAGACTTTCTCCAGAAGAAAAAATCAAAGGGGGGGCTAAAAATTCTGACTTCAAGTGTACATATATATATATATATATATATATATATATATATATATATATATATCACATTTTATTATTGCACATATTTTGGAAATATAAATACTAATAATTAACAAGGGGCACTTTAAGAAGATCAAACTCAACTGATGCCATTTTTAACAGCCACATGAACAGCACCAGAGCTTTACACATTATTCTACAGCTTCCCTTGACAAATCAGCAAGTTAGCAACTACATGTCAACTTACTCTCATTAGGCTGTTAGTAGACTGTCAGGTTTGGTTTAGGGTTATAGTTAAGCTGACACACAGTTGCAAAGTTATACTTAAAGTCAGAATAATGTTTGTTAAGAGAGCTTCAACATGAAGTGTTAGCAGATATTAAGCAGACAGACTAATAATACTCCAATGACTGCTCGAGTCAACAGAATGTCTAAAGGGTCCATCAAAATAAAGCATTGGCAAAACATTGAATTATTCTATCAGTTATTTAAATTTAATAGCCCTAATTAGTGGAGTAGCATAATATTGTTTGCATTCAGTGTTGTGTAATGTCAGAGGTATTAAGTAGTTTATTGCCGTTGGTGATTCCATGAACAACTTTTACATTGCATGAATGGTTGTGCATATTAAAAACATATTAATAAAAATATATATCAATTATATTATATTATCTTATAAATTAATAAAAGGTCATGACAACAAACGTTTCTTTGGTACTTTGACTTATTTTTAGAAGTAAATCAGATTTTGACCAATTTTTTAAGTTATGCGAAGTTTAACTTAATACTTTTAGTCAGTTTGACTAATATTCAACTAGTTAACTTGTTTTTTTTTTAAGTCAACGTGTCACTTACAAAGTGAGTAAACCTGTTGCTTAAAGTAACTAATTGCATTTTACAATGAAAAAGTAAGAGAGATGACTAGAAAAGTACATTTAATTTAACTAAAAAACCTCAGGGTAGAACATTTTAATACCTGCCGCCTAAGGAAAAAAATGTCTCTTTCAAGAAATGCTCATCGAAGTGTTCTTGAGGAGCCAAAATTGGTCTTCTGTGGCATGGCTGTGATGCCTAGAGTGATTTTCAAGCATCGGTGCTGCAGAATAAAAGAGAAATGAAAGTGTAGGAAGGTCATTATGGCATTCGGGCACAGGTGTTTCCAGACCTCACACTACTGTTTGCAGAGCAGGAATCTGGAGGCAGGTGTTGATGAGTCTCTGCGCAGCCAGCGGATACTGGAAACACTTCAATAAAACAACAGGAACACGCAGAACACAGTCGAGCTGCTCCAGGAACAGCCACTTCCCATCTGTCCGCTCCGCCATCATCTGACTCCTCATGAAGCGCTCCATTCACAGCAACCCAAAGCCGTCCATGGGGAGACAAATGTCTGACGGCTGCTACAATTTAATTGAAGCACACACACACACACACAAAGAATAGAACAATTAGTTAATAAAAAAATTTGTTATGAGGTTTTTGACAAGTTCATCACATCAATTAACATGAACTATAAGTAAAAGTACTGAATATGTTATTTTTTGCTTAATAATAAGTAATCAGCCGAGCTTTATTGTCATTAAGCTATATGTGTGGACATACAGAGGAACGAAATGTCTCACAGGACAACGGTGCTACACAAATTAATCATAAATACAAACATAATACTGGACATAAGAGCTATGTTTAAAAAAAAAAAAAACTATAACTAACATATAGTATGATACTTGACTAGGACCGGGGGGAGGAAAGTCGGAGCACTCAGTCTGGTCCCCCGGGCTCTGCGCTGGTTGGGAAAACTCCAAATTGAACCAAAATGATTAATTACAATTGGCATAAGATAGGCAATCAAAATTCGGGACATTGCAACCTGCAGAACCTGCGAACAAAAAAAGATACTTAACTATACACATAAGACAGGCTATACAAGTTCTTTTACATGAGACTGAACAATGTAGTGCAGGATATTGCGCAAGAGAGGTATTAAAGATGAATATTGTGCAAAAGGGGGATCTAAGGTTTTCATGTTGTGCAAAATTATTGTGCACTATTTAAAGTGGAAGCAAGCAGTACAACATGATTGTGGTACATTTATAGTGTACATCGCTTTCCTTATTGAGTTCCTGTAAGATGGAGCTTAGATAAAGTGTCAGGTGCATAAGAGAAAAGTGTTTCTACAGGTGGTTTGTCAAACCCACTCACGTGTATGAGTGTTATGCCTTTTATTATAAGCAATTCCAGCTTGAACAAACATCAACAGA